GCCTCCCTCCCATCCCTTCTTGGCTCTGCCGCCGCAACGACGGTGTTTAATCGTTAACCACCTCCAGCACGGTCCGTTTCTATTTTCTCTCCAGGAAGCGGGAGAGGCTTCTGAAACAAGGTTGAAAAATAACTCGGTTTTCCCCTTTGCCTAAAGGGAAAAGCTCCCAGCCGGGGTCTGGGTTGGGGGGGGACACACCTTCCCCACCACCACCCGTGTGCGTGTTGCACCTCTCTCTGCTATAGGTTCATCGTTTTCTATGCAGTGCTTCCCAAATCCCATCCGAACGGTAATCTCCGCTCCCCTACTCTCTCTCCACCGTCTATTCCCTGCAATATTTGTCAAGGAATTTCAAGTATCAATTATAACCGAAATTTTTGATCACACCCCCCCTCCCCCCCCAGTTTGGAGTGTAGATGATTTGATAGGAATATACACATATATAATACCCGTTCTCCCTCAGATGAATTTATTGGACCACGTCCCACCCTTAGCTGAACATTCAATATTCCAGCATTATCTCCGCACTTAAACTCGCTTTCTCCATTGCTGTGCCAAGATAAATTTGCATAATATTTGCAGTTGTAATTAGCTGATGAACATCTCTCAGCCTTCCCCTTTGTTTTCCGCGCGTTTGGTTTTCAATTGATGCCACTTTTGATCTTTAATATTACAGTATCCCGATAGAGTATTTTATATCTTATCTGGAGCGCATGAAAGTCGGGCAGAAAGGGAACGAGAAGGGGGGGGGGGGGTGTGAAAAAAAAAGGGAACCAAAAAAACAGGGAGAAAGGAGAAGGAGGAAAAAGGCACAGAACGAAGCCGAATTACTCAGAGCTTCCAACGGTTGCTTCAGATCCCTGGATCCGCGGTTATGGGGCAAACGTGATAAATGTGGAAATTAGAGAGATTTAAAAGGATATAAGGACTTAATCGGGGGAGGTACCGCCCGCATCTGGGCATCACCCTGCAAGGGCGACGGGGGTTGGGAACACGGGGTTGGGGATACAGGAGGCTGGGGACACAGGGATTTAGGACACAGGGGCTGGGGGGCACCCCGTTGTGTGTGTGTCTGCCCGCCTCCGGGCTTGGGGACCTCGGGGAGGGCTCCCTTTGGACTTTTAGGGACTCAAACACATAAGTTGGGGTTTGTTTATTTTATATATACAAATACATATAAGCATGTGTATATATACGTGTGTATATATGTATATATATATATGTATAACATGGAGGGGCTGTGTGTGCTTTCTTCACCCAGCAATTGCATGGGGTTCAGCCCATACCGGCTGCCCAGTACCCCCCGATCCCCCTCCCGTAGCATCATTCCCCCGCCTCCAGGGTCACCTCCGCTCGCAGAGCCGGGAGTAAAGGATGTTATCACGTCGGGAGGGTTATTAAACCGCTAATGAATGAGTGTCTGTGAGACTCTGGACGGGCTGGAGAGACTGCGGGAGGGGGGCTAAGGGGGGAAGAGGAGGCAGAAAGGCTCGATCTTCATGCCAATCTCTGGAACAAATAGCTAACATTTAACGTTTACACCCTGCTTGGCGACGAACTGGCGCTCCACGGACCCCTGATCCAGGCTAAAATGTCCAGAAAGCCTTTGGAGAGAACAAGTTCCTAGCTATCAGGTTCTTCTGATCTCTCTCCTCCTTTCATAGGGCTTTGGTTTCAGGCTGGACTTGTCCAATGTCTGCTTTACCGCTGCGAGCTCCTAAATGAGTGTCAAGGAGGCGAATATCAAATAGCAGAGAGGTCAAGGCGATTTGGTTAACCGTTGGCTGGGCTGATGGCTTTAAACTTGTGTGGGAGGCTGGGGACGTGGTGGGGGGGAGGGAAGGAAAAGGGGGAAGGAATGGGAGGAAAGGGGAAATAGACCCGGGAGAAAGGAAAGCAAGGAAAGGGGGATAGGAAGAGGGTCGGGGTGAGGGATTGATGCTTGGAGACCCCCAAAAAGGCAGCACCAATGATGAGAGGTTGAGGGTTATGGGAAGCCTTGGTGGAGGGTTTACTGGTGGCACTGGTTAGGCTGGGAGTGTCCTTGTCCATGGGCAATGCACGTATTTTGGTGGCATCTGCATTTGGGCTTGATCCTTGGTGTTTTGCATGGGATGCTGCAACCTGAATGAGCGTTGGGGTTTGAAGACATGGGGAGGGGGATTCTGTAGCATGCAGATGGTAGGGCAACACTCTGTGTGTGTGTGTGTGTGGGATGACCCGAAGATGGATCTCAAAGCCCCAAAACAAGGTGTGCTTGTGGAAAGGGCAGGGATGGCTGGGGGAGTTAAAAGCCTGGGTTGGGATCTGTGGTCCTAGGCGTGATGCAGGACATGCATGGCTTGGGGGCTGTGAGGGTGGTTAGAGAGGTGCCATGTGTGTCTGTGCACTGGGAGGAGAGAGGGATGGATGCATGGAAGTGATAGGGATATGTCAGGATGGGGGCAGGTGAAGAGCCCCTATGGAACACATAAAGGTGAGTGTAAAGCCACTGTGGCTGTAGCTGAAGCTTGAGGTGTGAGTTGGCTGTGGGTGTAGGATGGGATTTGTAAGGGGGGTCCTGTGGGGCTGCAGGACCCTGGGCATGAGGGGCTGTGATGTGGGAATGTGACTGTTGGGTGATGAGCCCAGGGAAAACCTTGGGCTGGGTGATCCAGCATCACTCTCAGGGGGCAAATTCCCTCCCTAAGTGCTATTGCGCTTCCCATGGGGAAGCATGGGGACAGGCTGGGTGGCTCAGCAGGCAGTGAAGAAACCAAAGAGAAATTTTACTTTCCCTATATAATAATCCGCTTTAAATATATATATAAACATATATATATATAAATAAATAAGAGAGAATTTCCTGGAAGAGAAAGTTTTCTATTAGTGAAGTGGCCAATGAACAGAACAAATACTCGAGGCCCTTTCCAGCCGCAGTGCTCCGCTCCGGAGCCGCGCCAGCCCTCCCTTCCCTGCAATCACATTCTGCTCCTGACATGAGCAGAAAGCTCACTCTGGTCCCAGGTAATGTAAAGCTCGTCAGCTGAATCAAGGCAAACAATCGCCATAGGAAATGTGTGCACAGCTACACACGGCTGAGCAGCGCCGGGGCTTGTAACTACCGCAGAGTTTGCAGGAGCTAAAACCAAGGGGGAGTTAATCGTGGGTTTAGTTCCCATGCCCTTGACCTACAAGTTGAAGAGCTCAGGAGTGCAATGCTGATAGAATACACTCAGGTGAAGGCTCCGTGGCCCTCAGTCTAAAGCTATAGTCTCCATATTGCCCCGGCTTTTGGATTGTGAGCATGTGATGGGAGAACTGTTTCCTTCCACTCCCCTTTTGGAGGTGCACAAAGGACTTCATGGGGCTGTCCTATGGGAACAAGGGATGCCATAGGAGACATTTTAACAAAGCCTAGTGAGGATGGGAGAGAGGATGAGCAAATTTCAGGATCAGATATGCATTTGGGGTTTTTTTTGTTCTGGTAGTTTCATTTGCTTGGCTGCTCAGGACCGCCTGGATCCTGGAGAGCATGGGGCTGAGCATCATATGGGCATCACCAAGGTGCATCCCTATGGAGAGGTGCCTCCTGCATGTGTTTGGATACGAATGTATTGGGAATATGTGTGCAGGGGGTGCTTGTGCATCTGCAGGTAACTTTATATATATATATATATATATATATATATATATATATATATAAAAATACATATCTATTCCATAGTAGGCCCAGAGCTATAGGTCCCTCCATGGCGCCCGCATACATCCACATACATACACCCACTAAGGTTGCGTTTCCGGAGACATTCTCAAATAGAGCAGTGTAATTTCTCCGCTGATTTTGATTGACACGCTGTCCCTGGGATCATGTGTTAATCCCTTCTTCACTCAAGCCTTTTCATAACTCATTTCTCTCTGCTAGATGGAGACTCTGATGGTTACCGAGGCAACGATGATAGCACTAAGCCATTTCCCTCTCTGCACGGAGACCATTATTCCGCATGCATAGGCCATTTGCAACAAAGGTCGCCACAAAGTCATCCACAACACAGCACACGTTTATTAAACTTTTATTCCTTTTTGCCTTCCCTCCCCCTAACACAGAAACTAGCCAACACGTGTGCAATCTCTGCCTTTCTGTTTGGGGGCGGGGGGAGATCTTTGTAATATAGGTAATAATAACCGTAGCAGTTATTATTGTACCCAAACTATATACATCACACAGATCAGGGGCTTAGAGTTCCTGGTCTAGAAAGATCACGCTTAGATGGCGAGGTTTTGAACCAATGATTCCTATTTATCTTTTGTTCTCCTATCAAATAGTAACTTTAATAGCAGTTGGAGGAAAAAACAGCCAACAGCAATGATATGAGAGCCGTGTGAGGTGGATATCTGAATGCAAAACCCACACGGGGGTTTGCCCTGCGAAACAAAGCACCTCCCAAACCCCAATAACCAAATAACCAACAACCAAATAACCAATAACCAAATAACCCCCAGCAATGACCAACCCCTCAATGGGGTGATTTTCTTAAGTCCAATTTCTACTTGGCTCCTTACCTGGGCTTCCTGGGTCTGGATATAAGTTATAGAGGGTCCTTCTTGGGTAAGGAGCTGGTTTAAGGGTGTCAAAAGCCAGCTCTGGCCGTAAGAGGACAATGGGTTAATGCACTGCTGAAAGGGCTGCTGCTAACCTGAGGTGCTCCCTCCCCACCAGCAAGGCTTTGCCCATATGGGGCCATGCTACTGGATTTTATTTCAGCCCCATCCTTTGCCTCTGGAGACCGAATATGATGCATGGCTTTGGGCTGGCTTTTAGTGAGCAGCCTTTTCCCATCGGGAACGGCGTGGGTAAAGGCATAAACCCCTGTACTTTGGATTTGTGCATTTAGCACTGAAACCAACCCCAACAAACATCCACATGTAGCATCTTCCGGCCACCAGCCCCATCACTGCAGCTGGGGTCACAGGTCCTTATCCTGAAGCTATTCATTACCTCTTTCTATCTCTGTTTCAAGGCACATATCTGGAGGTCTTACATTTCCAGCCACATCAGGACAGAGAGCCCATCCTGCTGCTATGGGTCTTGTAGCTGACGGCAGCAGGGACGGGCTGGGCGGCTTGGACAGTGCTGCAGCATCAGGTCTGCCACGGATGTGAAAGAGGAGGAGAAGATGGCCCACGGTGATAAGGTCCCAGGCAATTTCTATGGTGCCTCCTACTCTTCTCTGTCCAGACAGCTCCAGCGCTCCTCCGGGATCTTATCTCTCCCTATTGCTGCACCTCTTCGGCCTCCCTCCTACAGTGTCCTGCTCAGCTCGGTGCAAAACACACTCCTAATTGCACTGGCCTGGCCCAAAGCTCTGATCCCATCTGCCCTCTCTGACTCCCGTCACTGGCTTCACTGGTTTTATCACCTATTTCACTTACATGTTTGATGCCGCCTCTTCAAAGCCAGGCAGAGGTCAGCCCAGCCCCAGATCCACCACTGTTTTTCCCTTTATTTTCAATTTGGGAATTAAAAGTAATAGTAATTGCCAACCTTTAAAGGTTTAGCTTGTTCTTTTGGATATGTGGAGCCACTGAAACAATTGGGAAGTCCACGAGTCCAACCTCTGCAAGTGCATCGAGTCCTGAGCTTGGAGATCCACCGAGAGGAAAGCATCTCCCGGGAGCAAACCATTACTTGGAGACAGCCACAGCGATTTCCACAACAGCCCATGTGCTTGTTTGCAGAGTTTCTGTTTTGCAAGGTATTCAGATAGTCAGAGACAAACAGGAGTTGGGCTTAATCTCCCCGATCTGCCATTTATCTGAAGAATCACTTTCCCACCACAATGCAACCACCACCATGGAGGGCGAAGCAACATCGGTCCAGCTGACACAGGGGAGGGTGGTTTATGATATAGGGTGAAGTGACTCCTCTGCTGAGCACTGATTTAGCAGAGGTGTTTGAGAACAGCAGTGCCCTGGATCCTCAGTGGCTGAAGACCTATCACATCCACCCCTTTGAACTGATGGGGAGAAAGAGAGAGCCTTGCTTCATAGGAACAGCAGCACAGTGGAGGGGACCTGAGAGGGATTGATCACGCAGACAAGGTCTTGCTGTCCAGAGGATGCATTGTCTCATGGCACTTTTCACTCTATTCCCAAACCACAGTAAGCCTTTCTGAATAAAAGCCGATTTCCCTTTTCCCTATTCCCTCACCATCCAGTGTTGTCTGCTCTTGCACCACTCTTCCTATGGGAAGTCACCAGCCTGTCTGGTTTGATGTTATAAAAGGAGGTGGAAAACCGCATTTCTCACAATTTCAGCTCATAAGGAGCTCTCCCAGCTCATGCAGGGATGCTCCAGGCCAGGAAACACAGAGGGATATTTACTTGTGGTGCAGCGCTGGGATGGTGCTGGGATTTTTGAGCGAAGCGTGGCAGGTATTTGCAAGCCCCCTGCACTAATTGATGGGCTCTCTATATATCATGCCAGATAAAGGGCTCTTGTGCAGTAAATGCTGATGTTTAGAACATCCTGATAGTGTTTTGTTAACAAGAAGATAACGGGAGAGCAAGATACGTTTGTTTAGCTGCCTATAGATAAACCCAATAGGGTCTTTGTTAAGTTTTCATGACTGATGGCAGGTACTAAACACGATAAATAATACCCCAGGTCCTGATTTGAGCTACTGTAGCACAAATTATAACCCACAGCACTGACCTGTGAGGGGTATGGAGGGGTTGAAGGGTACAAGAGGGAAGACCTGGGCTTTTTTGTTGGGCAGAGACCCCTTGTTTCTGAACAGGTTGGATCTAAGGAAGTTCTTTATTGTGAGGGTGGTGAGGCACTGGAATGGGTTGCCCAGGGAAGCTGTGAATGCTCCATCCCTGGTGGTGCTCAAGGCCAGGCTGGACAGAGCCTTGGGTGCCATGGTTTAGTGTGAGGTGTCCCTGCCCATGGCAGAGGGTTGGAACTGGATGATCTTAAGGTCCTTTCCAACCCTAACCATTCTATGATGGCGGTCTGCTAAGGCTTTTCCAACAGCCCTGAAAAGTGGTACCCACCCGAAAAGCAAGAGATGAAAAGGATGTTGGCAATAAGATGCTTGAGGCAGTAGAAAAACAGAGGGGCTGTAAAAATTCAGAGGGAGAGGGTGGTGGTGGACAGCCCCAGTTTAAAACCAGCCCTTTTCTGCAGGGCTCTTCACCAGCTCATCCAGGATGGGATGGCCCAAGAGTGTTTGGAAATGGAGGGTGAGCAGGGCTGTGTCTCAAAATCACATCCAGCAGAACCCGAGCATCCTTCTCCCCCAACCCGGGAGGACATTGAGCCGAGACAGCATCTTCCTCCCTCCCAGGTTCACCTCATCAGGGTGCTTATTAGAAGCTGCTAATTGCAAGGTGGGTCGCTGTCAGCCCTCTTACAAAGGCAGGTTTGTCACTGAGAGATGTGGTGGCCCTGAGTCATGGGAGGAGATGTGGGGACACCCGGTCTGCCCGCAGTGGTCCCTGCTGATGTCCCAGCAGTGTCCCTGTCAATGTGTCAGCCTGAAAGGCCAAGGCTCATGTTAAACCAGTGACAGGTTACCAGCAGGGGGGGACATGCTGAGCATCCAAAGCCTGCAGCTGCAGAAGCTGTCAGGGTTTAGAAGTCAGGCCATGAAACAGCCCAGCTGTGGAAGGGGTTATAATTACCCTGTGGTCAGCACCACCTCCCCTGAGAAGGCACCGATCTGCTCCCATGTCTTTGTTTTATTCTTCCCATGTTTCTGTTTTGTCTTTTAGAAGAAGATACTGCAGGAGCTGCACCGAGATTATGCTAAAAGCATCACGACCCTTGGGTTGGTGCCCTCCCGGTGCATCCCACCAAGCAACAGGATGAAGAGGGCTCCAAGCTTGGCTAAAACCTTCTGGGATGCTGGGAGTCTCAGCTCCTTTTCAGATGGGGGTGAAACCAGAAAGCAGCTGTGGCATCTCCAAGCTGGTTCTGGTTTTGCACAAGAGTGTGATGCCAGGCACAACATCGTGTTTCATCTCTCTAGGAGCTGGGAGTGAGGAGCTCAGGGTTCAGGCTTCCACTTAAGAATGAAATGGATCCTTGTGCAGTTTGGGTTTTGGTTTCTCTGTCCCACCTGCTCACACGTGCATTTGTGTGTAGTGTTATAAAGCCCATTTGTTTGGACATTTTAATACTATAAGGAGATGCAAAAGGCTGGAGAAGAAAGCTCTGAACTGGGTTTGTGCAGTGCTCTGAAGGATTTATGTTAATACCCGGACCAGCCCTGGGACATACCAAGAGCTCCTGATTTCTACTCCTTCTTTATGCACATCTCTCCCATCCAGCACCATGTCAAGACCCCAGCAAAGTTTGGAGGGGTTTTGCCTCCTTTAGGTTTTCTGGCCAGCAATAGCACTGTCCATTCCCATCCTCTGACCAGCTCCATGTCTGCAAGGGCAGCTGCGGGATTTGGCTGTAGGTAAACCTCATCCTCCATTTACGCTCTAAGCCCAGATTACTTTCCAGTGATGGCTTCTCACCAAGCAGAAACACTGAAAGGAGGGAGACTTTGTACCCAAGGCTGAGCCATACACATGCAAACGCTCAGACCTTGAACATTTATGTCTGGAGTAGAAGCTCTGCCCCATTACTGGTTGGGAAGAACCTAAACATCCATTTCACAACCATGTGTGATGCAGGATTCATGTTGTGCACCGATGTCAGAGCCGGCCAAGAGCGATGGAGAGATGTAAATGGAAAACTCCATTTAGATGGGTCTTCCTGAGAAAACTTTGAAGAGGCATCCAAGAAATGAATGTGTTTTCTTCTAATGAGGAGCGTTGGTTATATCTTGTGGTGATCTAGAACAAGCCACATGCCAGATATTGTTGGTACAAGCACAACAACCCTGACTGTGGGAAAAAAAGAGTATTTCCAGGCATGTAGGACACAAAACGTGCTAAAGGCATTTTAATGACACTTTAATTAATCTCCAGGCATAGGTTAAAGAGAGAATCTCTGAGAAGGTGTGTATGTGTGTGGGGGGTAATAACGAAAGTTAGGACTCGAATCAAAAGATGCTTCAGTACCTGCAGAAGCTATTAAATATAATTATATTCATTTCAAATATCCCCACGCACAAGAAAGGGTGAACTGGAACGAAGGTTGGGAGCAAAGAGCAGTAAATCAAGGCTTAAAGAAGTAAGTATCAAAAGAATGTTGTGATTATCATAGGAACAAAAACAAACCCGAATGCATTTGGAGTGAAGGTGAGATGTAGAGAAAGAAATCCAAAGCAGCTAGGTGCGGAGAATTACACTGCAGGCAGCTCAGAGATGTAATAGCCTAAAGAAGGAGCAAGTGTGGATTTAGAAACACATTATCCTAACCCAGGACCACAGACATGGAAATGCCTTTCTCAGATGTCTTTGTTGGCTGATAGAGTTTATCACAGTGAGCAGACTCATTTCCAGACCATGGTCCTGTCCACACGTACATCTGTGACAATGCAACCGAGGGCTCTGCAGAGATGATGCTTTGGGTTCAAGGAAAAATGAACCTGGTTTTATCCAAAATCACCGTTTCCTGCCCAGTTCTCACAAGTGCTTTGCTGAGCTCGCCCTGCATTGTATCCCACTTGTGAATGGGAGCTGTGCCAAGCAGCCTCAGGGGGAGCCCATGTACAGGCATCTCTCCATGCCTTTGGTTTGGAAGGACCTTGCAGAGAGATCCAGACTTCTGTGTGTCTCTTACATGGAGATCTTGGCAGCTGAGACCCACTTTTGGGATAACGTAAGCTGGTTCATAGAAGGATGCCTGGAAAAGTACCCGGAGAGGTACCCAAGGATGAAGGAAGCTCAAAGGTGTATTGGCAACAGATGTCACTGCTGCTAGAAGGGACCTTTCTTGTATCACCAGGGGACTCTTCTCCATAGGTACTCACCCTCCTGGCCCCTGATGGCTCCAGCACCAGCTTTGTCTGCTTGGGGTCTAAGGGAGCTGGGAGCTTGGAGGTACCTGTTCCCACCTCAGCTTTGCCCCTGATGTGCTCTGTGGCCTGGCACAAATCACTTCACCACCCTGCTTTGGTTTCACTGCTCAGAACGCCAGCAGAAAACAAACCAGTCCTTGTTCAGAGGAGGTGAGTGACGCCAGCCCGGCCCTTTCGCTTCTCCAAGCACATCTGATGGGAACTACCACAGCTTTGGAGTCCTTAAGCCATTAAACTAATATCCACGCTCAATAGTGACCTGTTTTGGTTGCCCTTTCCCACTGATGGCTGGGGACACCCACCCACTGTGCCATAGGAATGGCATGATGGGACAATGTTGCACCCTGATGGGTTTGACTAGATGTCTTGGGAGGTCCCCTTATGTGTTAGATTATAAATGATTATTATATTATACTAAACAGTGATTAATTGTGTTCCCCTTCTGCAGGGCTTGTTTCTAGCAGGAAGATGCATCTCCATAAGATGACAACAGGCACTTGTCCTGCACAGAGGATATGTGCAGGGTCAGACAAGTAAAAGTGAGGGACCCGGTGCGAGCAGCAGGACACTCCTGATGGAGATAAGGATAACTCAAAGCGGAGATAAACAGCTAAATGACCACATCGCTGCAGAGAACTGGAGTACCTCGGGGGTGGCAATGCCAAGAGCGCACTCAGCTCTGAAATGATTTTGCAATGTGTGCATCCAGGGCTGGATTCATAGCAGAGCTCTGAGTCACGCTGTTTGGTGAGCGTTCACTCCATGACCAGGGCTTGCTATCCAGAAACAAGAAGAAAAACAAGGACATGATGCAGCTCCGCAGCTGTTTGAGCACGGCTTTAGTAAACAGAGCTGGTATAACACTCACTGGAGCCTCAGGCACGGGGTAAGGCACCGGTTCCTCCTTCCACCCACTTGCACACTGGTACAAAACCGGGCCTAATGGGAGCCCTGGCAATTAATCTGATCCCTCTGCATCTCCCCATCACCAAACCAGCCTG